AGGTAGATACACTCCTTGGAGAGAACAATCATGGGAGAAAGAAGGACTGCTTATGCACAGGGAGACAGCTCAGGGGGTAGGAGTGCATGGAGGGATGGACACAGGGAAGAGGTAACTATCGGGAGGAAGTATGAGGGGAGATGTTGCATTGTGGTAAATTGTAGTCAATGTCATGAGACAAATTTGGTATGTGAACTTCTATATAGAAAGTGAATTTTCTCTGTAAATTTTCACCCAAACACAATAAAAAAAAATTTACTGCCTTGGAAACCCAAAGCGGGTCACTATGAGTCAGAATTGACTTGATGGCAGTAAGTTTTTACATTACACTAGGTTGTTCGAAGAGCTCCGTGGTTTCAAAAGAGAGCAGACTTCCTCACAAAGGAGCTAGTTAGCTGTCTTTAGAAATTACAGTAGCTTTACATTTGGAAGAGCCCTTAAAGATGGGCTTCTCCAACTCCTTTATGTTATAAACAAAGTATTGAAGTCAAAAGGAGTAAGGAGGCATGACAAGGATGGGGCAACATAAAGGTGTCCTTCCTCTTGTGTAACCTCCAATACACTTTTGATTATCTATTGAATATCTATTTTCACAATAAATAATAAGTTATATTCGTGAAAAAAAAAAAAAAAACAGAATTTACTTTGTATGGGGTATACTGTTTATGAGTTAGTATTTAATTAATAACTCAAATTTCTGTGACCAAAATCATCTTGACCTTATTTAAAAGGCAATTTATTATTATTGGACAAGGATTAATATCTTACCAAATCCGTAATTATTGGATGAATGTGGACTTTGTTATAGAGAGCTGTCTCCAGGGTACAAGCTGCTGCATTAGGGTTGATATCAGTGCACCTATTAACAGAAAAGGAAGAAAAATATCTTTATGTCCATGTTACCGAAAAACTCAAGGCATATTTCATCCTCCTAAATAGAGCAGATTTAGAAAAAAAATTAGAATAATAATGGTAAAGAAAAAAGAACAAAGATCTGTTACATTCCAATTCCTTAGTTATCAACACAATTAGGTTACAAAGACCAGGTAATGACGCGAAAATTGGCATTATATGAAAATGGAGGTTGACTATATCAGATCACAATATGGAGAATGACCACATCATTACACAACTACCAAATTACATCATTCTGTAACTGCCAAACCATTGAGAATCATGGCCCAGCTAAGGTGACACATAACCTTAACCATCATAGCCAATGTTACTCTTGCCTTGCACCTCGGCATTCACTACTGTCAAGACAAACGTTGTTAATGTGCAAAAGAGCAAGCTAGATTTCTTGCTATTGTTGTAAATCTGAAATGTCAGATAACAAGATAGTTAATAAGGGAGGAGTGGGTGTACAATGATGAAAAAAGATTGTTATATTGATATAATGTCCTAAAGTAGAATACATACATAAACACATACACCTGAAGGAATTTATTTAATTATGATACATCCAACGAAACAATACTAAGGAGTCAATAGATATGTAACTTTAAAAGAATCTTTGATGGGAAAAGGCTCATGATACTATAATAAATGAGTAAAATAGGAAATGGAAAAATAAACTAGAAAAAAACACTTTGACCACATTTGGTAAAATTTATAGGTGATTTTTATTTTCTTCTTTCTCAAATTTTCTATATTCTCAAACTTTCTGTAAAGAAATTTTAGTAACTTTCAAATTTTTCTGATAATGAAATTATTTACCTAAAACAAAGGAGTTCTGGTTGCATAGTGCCTAAGGCATTTGACCACTAACCAGAAGGCTGTCAGTTCAAACCCACCAGCCACTCCTTGGAAGGAATGTTGGGCAGTCTACTTGCACAGTGATACTGCCTCGGAAACCCAAGGAGGAGTCGCTATACATGGGATCCGACTCGATAGCAGTGCATTGCGTTGCGTTGCATAAAACAAAACTAAACTTTTAGCTGACTGCCATTATGCTGTTCCTATAATTATGTAGCATGATAAAGCAGGTTTATACATACAGTTATAATTTCTAGAAAAGTGTAATTTGAGATGTGGGTCCTTACTCTATTTAAATCAAATAGTAGATACATATTATTTACTTACAAGAATTACTTATAAGAATTCAAACAATCAAGTTCATAGTGAATTCTTCCAGTGGAAGATTTGGAAGAATATAATATACTTACATGTACAATGCCTGAGGACCTATCATTGAGGCTAGGAAGGCAGATACCACACCAGACCCTGACCCTACTTCTAGGCATATTTCCACTCTAAAAAGAAAGAAAATAAAATATTAATATGTTGTTGTTGTTATGTGCCATCGAGTCGGACCCAACTCATAGCAACCCCGCCTTGGGTTTCTGAGGCAGTATCACTACGGAAGTAGATTGTTGCATCTTTTTCTGAGGAGTGGCTGGTGGATTTGAACCGCCAGCCTCCTGCTTAGCAGTCAAGTGCCTTAGGCACTATGCTACCAGAGCTATAATATACTTAGGAGAAAATAATTATGCTCGTTTTAATGTATATTTCCCAGTATCATCAATAACCTGAAAATACGTATGGAAACATGAAACAAATTTATTATTTAATTTCTTAGAATCACTTGGTGCTCAAGTTTAATGGTGGGTTACTCAAAATTGTTAAAATTTTGGGTATGTAATGTACCTTAAATCCACACAGTAGTAATATATTACAGAATGTGGCTTTCAATTAATTTCAACAAAACTTTACATAAAAACTATGGAATAAATGTCATTCTAGAGTTTAAAATAAAAAGACCATCTCTTCCCATAAGGAGCTCACAGTTTAGTATTTCCTATGATGATAGGATTAGTATCATTACAAAAATTTATTTATAAGAGATGTTTTCTTAATCATGTTTTAAGTATGTAATTTTCATAAACCATTAGCATATTTTGGAAAGGGGAAAAATGATCTACTTAACTGCTAATATTTTTAGAAGAACAAAGAAAATCCATATTTGGACAGCTATATGCTAACTTTGGAAAGTATCTAAATATCTGACCTTAGAATGTTATTAATAATCATCTTTGAATGCTATTAAATATATTAAAATCTTCATTCTTCTGTATTTTATCCTTCAAGTAAACTTATTCCTCACCACAATCTTAATCATCGATCAAAGGGACCAGTTAAACCCATTTCAGAGACAAGTTTCATGGGAGTTAGGGGTCCTTACAATCCTCCTTCCACCTAATTCTCCAAACAACTACATAACAACAGACACTGGGCATTCCTAACTTTCTGAAACAGTCCACAGTTTACAGTATGATCTGTGAATCTTATCTGGTGGCTTCTATTTTAACGATCATGGGCTTGTAAATAGCTAGAATTCCAAGACCAGAAATATTCAAGACTTTATAACAAAAATCAGCTCCTTTTACAGCATGCTTTGTAATGTAGTTTGTGCTTATAAATCTTTCTGGGCTATCTTAAGAGTAAAAGACAAGTTATGAAACAGTCCTGTTCCATTCTATATTCCAGTAAATCCAAATGTTCCATCATTTACAACGAAAACCTAGTTTAATAAAAATTGGGGCATTTAATACTTGGAAAAATCCAACCAAGTTTAAGATGGATAAATTAACAAAAATAGATTATTGAAATCTGATAGCTTTTTATTTCATCCTGAGAAAACCCAGTTCAAGTTTTAAGCTTTAAATAAATCCAAGTATCCACATTCCTTCAAAAAATTAAAATGTATTCATCTTCTTAATCTTAACTCAAAATTTAAGAGCATACATTCCAACAAGTCAATTTTAATATTTGTAAGTCTCTAGAGTAGATTCAGGAGCTCTGGTGGTATAGTGCCTAAGGCATTTGACTGCTAACCAGAAGGCTGGCTGTTGAAACCCACCAGCTACTCCTTAGAAGGAAGATTGGGCAATCTACTTCCATAGTGATAAACCAAAAAACCAAACTCACTGGTCCAGTGGGATCCGACTTATAGTGACCCCCTCCTTGGGGTTCGGAGGTGGTATCACTACAGAAGTAGATTGCCCAACCTTCCTTTCCAAGGGAAATCCAAGGAGGGGAGAGCAGGAGCGACAGACTGGAGTGCAGTATTTTTTTTTTTTTTTAAGGGTAGATTCAAGGAGCCTTTGCGGTGCAGTGGTTAAGCAGTTGGCTACAACCCAAAAGGTTGGCGATTCTACCCCACCAGTGACTGGGCAGGAGAAAGACCTAGTGATCTACTTTTGTACCAATAACAACCTAGAAAACCCTATTGGGCAGTTCTACTTTGCCCTATAGGGTCACTATGAGTTGCCATCAACTCAATAACTATGCGTTTGGTTTTTGGTTTAGGGTAGATTCTAGAGGTGCTGTCAAATAAAGTAGCCACTCAAAAGCCAAAACCAAACTCAGAGCCAATGAGTGGATTCCAACTCACAGCTGTCCTTTGGGTTTCAGAGGCGGTAAATCTTTAGGGAAGTAAATTGTCTAGTCCTCCTGGTCCTTGGCCGGTGGGTTTAAACAGCCATCCTTCTGATTAGCAGTCAAATGCCTTAGGTACTACATCACCAGAGCTCCTTAAGGTAGCCACTAGCTCCAGGTAAATTCTTCACAGTAAAATGAAATAATCCTCAGTTGAACCAGCCACATTTCAAGTGGTCAGCTACCTCACTGGGGCGGCGTTTTCAAACCGCAGAGTATGCTGAGTGGATATAAAAATACTTTCCACTCCATTATCTCACAACCTATTTTTTTGCCTTTCCGTTGCTTTCGCTGAACTGAATAAATCAAATAATGCCACGTGATTTTTAATATTTAGTAACAATATTAAGAAGTAATGTTTTCGGGCTATTTTATGTTCATGACTCGTGTTATAATGTTGCCTTTAAGGGCATGCGTTCTTCGGAAAGACGAACTGAAAGGCTGATACATCACTGCGTGGTCAGAAGCATGGAGCTCATGAAACAAAAAGAACTTTGGCAAAAGAAATAAATCCCTGGCACCCTCAATGAATCTGCAGGAAATTCCCTATCTATGACTTTCGGGTGTCAATCATCGGCAAGTGGGCGGATGCCGCGCTGCTGGCAGCGACAGGCCTTTTTCCGCCCTCCGCCACCACCACGCCAAGACGCCCTAGATACTCCACCGCCGGCCGCTCGCGCTCTTCGCACCCCGCAAGCTCGGCCGCCGCCGCCTCGAGCGTGTCCAGCAGCAGAAACGTATCTTCCGCGGGCTCGTACACTTCGCTGAAGGCTCCGCGCCCCACGTGCCCATGCAGCGGCGTGGGGTATCTCAGCGCCGCCATCTTCCTTTTCCTCACCCCTCCCGCAGTCGTTGGGGACGCGCATGCGCAATGGCGCGGGTTTAGACTGGAGGGCAAGGCTACAGGGACGCAAGAATGCTGAGAAGCCTCAGGTTTTACTAGTAGCTTGTCAGTGTGTCCTCTTAGCCTTTTAAGTAGCCAGTTATGTAATCGGCAACTATTTGCTTTTTCTTTAGAATTTTTATACTTATTTCATTTTATAGATTATTACCAGATAGTGGGCGTGCTCAATTGTTTTTAACTTTGATGGGATGCTTTTAATATTTTGTTGTTCTAAGGAAGGTTGGGCAATCCTACTTACGTAGTGATACTGCCTCGGAAACCCAAGGAGGGGTCGCTGTGAGTCGGGCCGACTCGACGGCAAACAACAACAACAAATG